AACATTAAATTAATATTTAATAATTAATGTGATGGATGAGCCTGCAAATCACTGACCATTTTCTCAAATTGAAGCTTCTACAATATTTCGCGGTGTCGCTGTAAAGAGGCCGCGGCGCAAAGTTTGGGAATCACTGTGCTACGCTATCAAATGGTCATACGAATGCATAGCTCGGATTTAATAAAGTAGTTACATTAGTATTATTCCGTGTACTTTAGGAAAAAATATTACGCTTAGTTTATTATAAGTGCAGTGAACAAGCAGATAAATTTATGAAGATCAAAATAGCAAATTTTAGTAGACAGATAATATTTAATTGTGATTAAATTAGAAATAAATTTGGAGTATACATTACTTGAGGCTTTCTTGTAAAGATTCAGTTTAATCATTATCACAACGTATCGCTATGTTTTAAGGAAGATTGCAAAATTAACCCCACTCGTACTGCGCCTCCTGCTATTGTTATAATATCTTCTGGCATTGGACCATCGACTGGATAAATTTTTCAATGATGTAATCTCACTATCTCGTTTTAAGTAATAAAGAGAGTGGTATTCGGAGTTCTTACAATCATATGAGTAGACATTACGTTCTATTTGATTTAACAAAGCCATGATTTCCCAAAAGAGTATTCTGATTCAGGCTGAAGTGGACTGCAGTTTCGACCTCGCCTAAACTAGTCTCATCAGCATCGTCGGCGAGACTCGAACCATGGAAGTGCAGCTTATAATCTCGTAACGTTAACCGCCCCGCCACACTACTACGAGTTCCATTGGGACACAGAGATGTGAATTTTAAAAAGGCCGGACACTCTCCTATACCACATTCTTTGGTAGGATTTACGACAAAGCAATCGACTAAATTACTTATTTTTTCATTTAAAAGCGGGACTATCAGGACTATCAGCAGATTATGTATATGAGACGTATTTACCTTATTTCCTTCAATGCGATAGTCTCGAAGACCTACTTATAAACAAAAAATAAATTTCTAAAAGTTTCGCGAACCTCGTAGTTGGCAGCGCCAGTGAGCAGCTTTAGTGAATAGCTTTATTGTCGTAAAAAAGCTACAAAACGTAGGTGACGAGTAAACTCAGTCTCCTAAACGACACTTATGGTATCTATCCTCCCCCCTGGCTAAAAGCGTTATATCGTCTTTTTTGACTGCTGATTCAGATGCCTAAATCCCTTTCTTTTTACCAAAAATTTTAGACAAAGTTGTGTCCATTGGAACCCAGTTACCACTATAACTGGTCTCTCGACCCTAATGCTGGGCTTCTTGATCTGAACTGGTATCTCGACTTGGCAACCCATTCTAGCGAAATTATATCAGCTTGTTCCCCCTGACCTCAACAATTACTGTACAACTCATTTGGCCAATTGTATTCATTTGTTTCGAGCCACTACACGTTTCTCACATGACTAGCTCCGAATGTATAATAGAATATGTAAGATAGCCTCAGCAATAAGGAGATTCAAAACCTTGTCAATCAGGCTCATTGATACAAAATTTGATGTCCCCAAAAGGTTTGGGAATGTACTAATTCAAAGGCCCGATAATGGAAAAAAGGCATGACAATGGCAGAAGAGGCAGTATGGGTAGAATCGTTTTCTCAGAGTCGTCTTAAAAGCATAAACCAAGTCAAATCAATCCTTAAGGCGAAATAAGACGGCAAACAAACCAACTTAGCCAACTTAAGCCGAAGTATGCTCACGGACGGAAATGTGAAAATGAAAGTTCATGCTTTGAAATAATCGGAAAAACAACAACTCCTTTATAGGAAAATAATAAAAACCGAGCAAATATAAAGAAAGAATAGATGGCTGAGTCTAATATTTGACTATCACGAAAGCAATCTGAATAGATAAAAAGCTCAAGATTTTTGAAGATAAGGAAATAGTACAGGGAATACCTCGAGTGACTTCGACCAGAGATGTTTTCGTTGGTTCTTCTAGAGGTGCCAGTTCGCTTGTTGTTTCTCACAGGAAGAGATTTTTGGGAGTGACGATGGCGCAGTACTTTAGCATGGACAGCCGAGCCTTTGGCTTCCCTTGGCTCATTTGTTCTAGCTTCTGTTCCCTCATCGTTACCTCGCTCTTCATTGATCTCATGAACCCCAGCTTCAAGCCGATTAAAACCGGACCCATTAGGCCGCGTAGTAGTAGCGGATTGAAATGTCCTAGAATTCTCTGTTCTATTAAAGTTTGGCTTAGTGACAGGTCCAAGGTTGTTTCCTGAGTCTACACCAGTGGATACAACAGCTGATGAAACGGTGTTTGACAATAGACCGGAGGCCTCTAAGTGCCCTCTGACCCGATCCACTTCAGCACGCAAATGTCGATAGTTGTTCTCTGCTTGGCCCCAGTCCTCGTCGATTTGGGAACGCTGTAAAGCCAATCGGGACTCTATGCATAGCTATGCAGTCCATGTCAGAAAAGAGGAACATAATGAAAATTAAAAAGAAATATTAAAACATATAAGGTAGGCGAGCACAGGATTATTTCTGATCAGAAAAATTCGTAAAAGAGGGCTTATATATATGTCTAATATCATGCATAAACAAAAAGAAGTTGCTGCTCTGGGAATCTATTGGTCTAAAATTGTTGAGGCCACATGGAATTGTATCTCAGTATAGATTTTTGGCGTTGCTAACTAGCATAAATCACGGTTTGCAAACTTGCCTGTGTTGAATAGGCGTCTTCATTTTCACATATAACGCTATTAGACAGGCATAATTAAAGGATTGTAGGCAACGCTAAAGAGAGTAGGGAAAAGCTGAGGCAAATTAAAAAACAAAGGCAGGCCGATCGGCAAACCTGGTGGTCACCTCGAGAAAGCTGATGTTCTTGCATTCTGGAAGCTAGCCCAAGATGAGCTAGGATCTAATCTGACATAACTTACGATTGCCCGGTAAAGATAAAATGCTTGTGGTCACCCACTTCTAGAAATTGAATAGAAAATCCTATTTTTCTTTTTGATCTGGCCGAGCACATTAGTTCACCATCTAATTACGAGTATTTATTACTGTATTATCATAAATCATTTTCTATAACAATTTGTGATATTTTTGAACTTCGCCAATTTTGAGCTCCTATTGCCGGCAAAGCAAGTATTGCCGCTTACCATATGGAGAATAACATTTAGGTTCCAGTCCTATAGCATCAGTCTCGTCCAGCAAAACTGTATTCCTTTTACCTAATTTAGCATAGCCATCATCGCCAAAGGAGCACAGAAGCGAATGATGCCGCAAGTAAAGTTTCCACTAAGATGCTATAACAGAAGAAAACAAAAATCCTTGATTTTTTACTATCAGAATATCCATTCATTGCATGTTATAGCATCTCCTAAAGTACTAAGATTGTGTAATTTGAATCCTATGTGAATTTTAGGACATGCCAGAGTGGATCAGACTTAAGTACACTCAAAATAATTTCAGAGGGATATTTAGGTTAGAAAGTACTATAAATTGAAAGAGAGAATTGAACGTCTGTCAAAAATAATGTCATCTGTAGAATAGAGATGAAAAATAAATGTACTTATACTG